CCACTTGCATAGTGCTTAGTGATTCATTAGGTGATTAGCGTAGGTGCTTTGCGAAATGCTTAGGTTGATTAGACCACCGCTTATGCGCTTGCTCTAGGTTTAGGCCTAGCGTTTAGTGAGGTTTACATACCTCTTACCACTCGGTGTTTGCGCGCACCATTGTTGTACATCGGAGGGGCTTGTAGTCTTGCGAGATCACACCAACCGTGGTTGTGGTGTGGCCGCCACCGTGTACCGGAGGGAACAAGGCCCGCGGCGTTTCGGCCGGAAGCTTGATAGTCAAGACGGCGGGGAGCATCTGGGAGAGGCTTGTCGGAAAGCACGTCGGAGACCCACATGCGCGTGGGGAAGGTCCGAGGCTATCCACGGAGTTACCCGACCGGGGGCTTGGCCCTTGCGAGGGATTCCTTGCGAGGGGCTCCAACGAGGACTAGGGAGAAGCTTGCGTGCTTCTCGATACCTCGATAAAAATACCGGAGTTATCGACGGGAGTTTGCATATCTCTACCTTGCTCTTTAGCTTCCGCATTTACATTGATTATATTACTCCTTTTACGGTAGAGATAGCAACACACTAGCAAAACCGTAGTTGCACATTTGGATAGTTTATATATTGCATAGGTTTTGTTAGGGTTAGAAAAAGATGCCATAGTTTGGAGTTAGAATTTTAAGTTGTCTAATTCACCCCCTCCTAGGCGTCACGGTCCCCTACACGCTATCAGTTTGCTCTGCATGGGGAGCACGGGTGGTGCACATATGTCATGGGCCGTATTATCACCAGGTAGCTCCAAGAGTGGCGGTTGCCTCCTCTCTGTGATCCGCTCGGTGAAGCGCTTGAGGTGTCTGTCAGCCGAAGCCATATGAGGAGATGGAGTGCGGTCAGCGACGTCCGCGGCAAGCGTTAAAACAGTTAGCTCAAGTCACTTTAAACTCACACATGTTTCTATACTATCATGATAGGTTATTTTATTTTATTTTAGTACAAACGGTAGAGTCTTACCGCCTATGACCGGAAGGTTCCGGGTTCGAGTCGTGGTCTCCTCGCATTGCACAGGCGAGGATAAAGCTTGCCACTAACACTCTTTTCCAGACTCCGCACAGAGCGAGAGCTCTCTACACTGAGTACGTCATTTTTAGTTCATACAAGCTAACAAATTGGCTCAATTGTTAAGGTGGCCTAAGGCGCTCCTTGTGCTCCCTGATCCGGCTCCACGCTCCAGATAAACAGTTGTGCACAGGCTCTGTGTGCTCCGGTTCAAGATATACTGATCTGCACTATTAAACACTGTAGCTAGCAGCAACATGGAAATGGCTGAGCCAGAACCCGCGAAAACTGCATCGAACTGCCCTAAATCATATGGAAAGTGATGCGCTCTCCACGCTCGATCCATCCACACGCGAAGCCATACGGACATCTCTAGTTGAAAACTGGATGGAAAAATTCCCGTTCCGACCCGTTCAGTTTTTTATTTTGTTCCGCCCCTTTCCGTATTTGTGGGATCATGTTTCCGTAATCCATATTTACGGAAACGGAAATGATTTTTTTCGTTAGTTTTCGCGGAATCCTGTTTTTATCTGGAATTGACCCGTATTTATTCTGTTTTTCATCCCATTTTTATCCATATGAGATATGCCTAGAAACTGATATGTTCATAAACCCACTAATCACCAATTATGCATGTTAACGTTTTATCAAATGACATGCTAGTGAATATTGGATCGACAACTTCGCATGTGTATATTATTTTATGACTTTGTTCATGTATACTATAGAATATTTAATCATGTTATTCTAACTTAAATTTTTTTGCTCTCCATCCATATTTGTCTGTTTCCGTATTTCCGTATATCCCCATCCATTTTTAATTCTGTTTTTTTTTCTTAATTTCCGGTCCATTTCCGCTAAAAAATATAGAAACGGAAACGAGAGAGCCGTTTTACCGCCTGTTTCCGTCCGTTTTCATCCCACGGACATCGCCATCCGCCATTCCGATCCTAAAATCCTGACGGAACTTGCACCGCCCTTCCTCTTCCGTTCAATCGCCAGTCAGGGCACAAAGCACGCACGCCAAGCCCAAGCTAAGCGAAAGATCATGCACGGGAACTGGAGATGGGCGATGGCATTGGCACAGCAGCTCTGTGCTGTGCCGACAGGTGCACAAAAGGGCTCGGGTCCTTGCTGGCTCACCTCGATCCCAAAGTCAAAGTTGTCGGCTGTGCTCTAGTGCTTTACCACGATCTATGACAACGCCCGTGATCATCATGGCCGTGCAGTGTGTGCGATATCATCGTGTCACGTCTACTTGATTATGACCTTCCAAACCACCACATTTGCAAGTAATGTGAAAGGGGACACGAAACCGAAGCGTATATATTCGAAAACAATTTGCGGGGCCTATATTGAGTTATTATTGACACCTATCCCTCTCTAAGCTGCGTACTGAGATCTTGTATTTGCCTCAATCACATTTTTTCCTTGTTTATAGGCTTTTCGTGTCATCAACCTGGATGGCGAGGAGTCTAGGAGTACCTACGAAGAGCTACTCCAAACGGGCCAAGACGCAGCACTCGGCCCAGGCGTCCCAGCGTGCGTGCCAATGGCGCGTGATAATCAAGGTTTTTAATTTCAGTATCGCCAAAATTTCGGCCACCACCGAAATTGCCGAAATTTCACCAATTTTTTTTTAGAGATTAGCACATGAAGTATGTTTTTTCTAAAAAAAATTGGATCTAAACAAATATTAGTATGATTTATGACTACATATCTATTAAATAGAAGAATATGCAATATAAACAATAGAAAAATATAAGATTAGAGTTATATAGCACATGTATTAGTGTATTAAAATTTTTTGGAGTTTTCTTTCGGCCACCACCGAAATTACCGAATTTCGTAAAATTCGGCCGAAATTTCGCCAAAATTTTAAACCATGGCGATAATGATAGGACGAGGACATCAGACGTGCTCTCTCTCTAAAAAAACCCCCCACATGTAGTCGTCTGCTCGTCTCACTCCTCACGGTACTTTCATCCCGCGACATCCCCTGCGGCACCTCCGTTCTGCTTGCCCTCCGCCTGCCCATCGCCTGCTGTGCGCTGCGTCGTACGGAAGAAGGGTGAAAAACGCATGTTGCAAGTGTATGTTTCAAATGTTTTAGATGTATGTTGCAATTGTTTCATACAAATGTTGCAAAAGTAGAACGTGATGTTGCATATGTTGCAATGGTTGTACACGTATGTTGCAGGCTTATGTTGCTAATGTTTCATCTGTTTTTCTAGACGTATATTGCAAGCGTATTTATTTGGATGTTATATATGTTGCAAGTATTTTATCTGGATGTTGTGTATGTTTTACAATGTTTTTCAGGTGTTTTTGCAAGTGTTTCAAATGTACGTTTTAAGTGTTTCATCTGCATTCAGACATATATTGTAACGGTTGCATCTGAATATTTCAAAAGTAGACTGTTTCATCTCCCTCCTTGTCCTGGTGTCTCCTCCTCCCGACGCCGTCTGGGCATCCGCCGCCCCCTCCCCCTCTTCTCGATGCTGGTGACGTTTAGGACGACGTGGGCCCCACGTGGACATATAAAACGGTGCAGGAAATGGACCGCAGGCGCGGACATCCAAACGCCCCGTCCGTACGACCAGGTGCTAGCAAGCCTGAATGGCGCGTACGCGTGAAGCTGCTCGATCTGCGGGAATTAGCACCAGAGGTTACCGTATAAGAGGCGAGTTGCAATAACCAATATGAGATGAATTAAGTTTTAAAAGAAGAACAAACTACTTGTAATCCTTCCTCTCTACTACTCCTATAGTCCTATTCAACCAGATCCCCCTGCCGTTTTCCTCTTCCCGAATTCCTCTGCTATCTTACACTACATTTCATTAAAACAAGAATAGAAGATACATCGTCATTCTAAACCTAGAGTAGCATACTTGGTGGTGCGGTAATGAATGATCAGTAAAAAAAACCAGAAATAATATAGATCGACATATCAAGAACTAAACAATCATAACCATTAGTACAGAATCAATTATAAGGGGTGGTCCAAGAGTCTAGAAATCATGTATTCTGGTTATGGTTTTATGTGACAGTCCCTAGAAATCGATTTCCATTCACGGTCGAAAATATAACCGTTCATAAAAAATGATTTGTAAAGACGGACGGACGGTTGACAATATCAATTGAACTGCTCCTAGAAATAGTTTTTTTTCTTCAAACTTTTCAAAGTATTAGCATACTGGCTTCCCCATCAAACGGGAATGCAACGCGCGCGCCTCCCGGCCATGCTACTTGGTAGATGCCTAGACGCTTGGCAGTGTCGCTCCCACAGAGCCCCACTTCTGGAACGGACGAACAAAGCCAAGCAACCTGCACAGTGTCTCGCGCATCAATTTTTTCGCCGACTTCGGCAAAGCATATGTCGACACTAGCCAACGGACAACAGCTACCAGATTCTTCAGGTCACGGGCTCACGGGACTCGGGGACTCTTGGCAACCAGCACCAGCACGCACAGCGAAGATAAAATACTCCCATCCGATAAACGAACAATGCTTCGCTTTCATGCAATTCCAGTGCGGTCACGGAGGAGATAAGCCTGAAAGCTACTTTCGTGACATATTTTAGCAATTACGGCGACCGGCCGGCGCAAAGCAAGCCAGCACAGAGAGAGCATGCACGATGCGGCAAAGCGGATGCCAAAAGCATGCACGCAGCAGCGGTAGAAGCAGTCAAGCAGATCGCTTCAGAATGGGCCGGTGGTGGTGCGCGAGATCTCGTGGACAGATTTTTTTTCACCCATCCATTACCACTTTACCAACGCATGGCATGGACGCTATAAATAGGCCGGCCACGGGACATCCATTCGGCGGCAACAAATCGCAAGCCGACTTGAAGCTTTTCGAGCCCAAACACGAGTCCTGGACCTGGTAGAAAGCAAGAGCTAGCGCACGCGCGCGAGTCTCCGTAGGCTCGCCGTAGCTTTGTTGAAGGGAGTGGCATGCAAGCGACGATGGGGACGAGTCGTGAGCAACGGAGAGAGCGGGCACTGGTGCTTGCTCTCGCCCTCCTCGTCTCGGCGTTCGCGCTCGTACAGTGCGCGGGCGTCGACGACGGGGAGAAGGAGGGCGGAGGCCCGGCAGTGGCAGAGCCCGAGACGACGGGGCAGACGCTGCCGCCCGGGTGGACCGGTGACTCGGGGTCCGCGCATGGGTCGAGCCCTGGCGGTGGTTCATGGGAGTATGGATGGAGCTGGGCTGCGGGGCCTGATGGCAAGGGAGGAGGGTCCGGGTTTGGTTATGGTGGAAGTGGAGGCGAAGGTGGTGGTGGTGGAGGAGGTGGCGGTGGCGGTGGCGGAGGTGGAGGGAGTGGAAAGGCGTTTGGTTTTGGCATTGGCGGGTATAAAGGCCATCATGGCAGCTTTGGAGGCGGCGGTTCTGGCAGCTACGGTGGTGGCAGCGGGGGTGGCTTTGGCAGCGGCGGTGGCTTTGGAGGCGGCAACGGTGGTGGCTTCGGCAGTGGCAGCGGCGGCTACGGTGGTGGCAACGGGGGTGGCTTCGGCAGTGGAGACGCTGGTGGGTTCGGTGGTGGTCAGCATGCTGGAGAAGATGGGAACGGCGGTGGAGGATATGGTGGCCGTGATGGCTCTGGTGGTGGATACGGCAGCTCCGGTGCTGGCGCCGGAGATGGTGATGAGCTTCATGGTGTATCTGGCGGGAGTGGCGACGGAGGTGGGGCTGGGTATAAGGGCAAGGGGCTCTTCAGCGGTGGAGGCTGGAGCAAGCGTGGCCATTTCCGCGGCGGGAGGTCGGCACCAGCACACAAGGACGGTGGCGGCAACAAATGAAGCTGCCCGTCCTTGTTTGCAACCTGCAACTAGCAATGACAGAAAATATGTTGTCTTCAGAACGCAGAAATTTACATGTACTGTAGCTATGCGCGATGTAATACAGTGCATCCATGGTGTTATCAAGCGCGCTTCTTGTCGACTGTCATAGCTCATAAGTGTCCTTATGCGGAGTGTTTCAATACTAATATAGGTGTGAGAAACAGAAATATGAGCTTCAGTTTGGGCATAAGAGCTGTATCATGACCCTGGTATGCAACTGATGCTTACCTTTCCCTGGCTGACGCCAGTGCAAATTACTCCGGTGCCTGTGATGTGTACGATAAACCAGCAGAAGGTATTATGGCTATTACCAATTTGCTATACCTTAAAAACAGTTCTCTACTGGCACATATATCATTGTTACCAGTTATTGACTTCAGAGATGCTACCAAACTCATCTAGTTCAGAATCAGTACTGACGAAACGTAGCAGCTAATGTTACCATTACTATGGTTCTTCATCAGACATCAGTAAAATCGATGTGATGGAACACAACTGGATCCTTGCAGAAAAGTGCTTAGCTTCCAAAATCTAAGGTAAGCTTAGGAAACAGCTAAAAGCAGATAATGTTGGAGGTAATGGACTCGGGTCAGATTACAGCATACATTGGGTTTAGCTTCAGGAACTTCAGATTTTGCAGACATAGGTTTAAATCTCAATGTTCAAGAAACTGAGGTGCTAATCAGCTTCCAACCATGATGACAAAGATATACAAGGGCAGAATTCCCTTTTTTATATCCTCATTGCAGACATAGGTTTAAATCTCAGTGTTCAAGAAACTGAGGTGCTAATCAGCTTCCAACCACGATGACCAAGATATGCAAGGGCAGAATTCCCTTTTTTGCCCATGAAAGCATAAATAAATATTCCAGAAGACAACAGCTAGTTTTAATTGATTCTTTATTCAGGGGATCAAATCGTGCGGCAGTTAAAATGAGCAGTGTTCCATGTTGGATTCTAGATTCAGACATGAAGTTCGCTAGATGGAAGCTGAAAATATGACACAACTGACAATCAATAAAAAATGCATGTGTTTCAAATACAGTAATTCATGTCTGTTTTTCAGATACAGTAGACACTACACAACAGATAATTCGAATTAAAGAAAGTAATGGGCAAAGACCATAGGTCCCAGATAGGGCGCACAATACTAGAATCTTGGATTATTTCTCATAATGGGTCAACATGACCCATTGAACTAATATACTATTCTTATTCAAATTTAATTAATCAAAAGTGTTAGTAAATGGGAAGGATCAAACAATTTGTTTTATGAATGCATAGGTTTAAAGTGCAAAGTATTTGTATGAACAAGAAGTATGTGAAGTGTTTACTATCTGGTAACGATTGAGGTTAGTAAAAATAGGAAGTCTGCATGAGTTAGTGTACTGAGCATCTCCAAGGGTTTCTAAAACACTCTTCTAATCTAGAATTTTTAGCAAAATTAAGAAAAACAGGTGTCCAACGGTTTCTAAAATCAACTACTAATCTTTTAGCACTTCTAAAAACTGAGTCCTTTGCGCGTAAAGATACGCGCAGTTGCGCTCGCGCGGATCCTGCCGCGACTAGGGGAACCGTGCGTACGTGCCGGCGTGCCGCCCTTCTCGCCGACTCAGTCGAGGAAGAACCCCTCGCCGAACCCCAGCAGCCGCGCCATGGCCATGAGCACGCGCTTCGCCACCTGCTCGGCGCGCTCGCTGCCCCAGGGCGTACTCGTGCAGGAGCCTCCCGAGCACCGACCGGAGCTTGCCGGCCTCCTCGACGTCGCCGGGGTCGGCAAGACTGCACGTCCACGGTGGGGATGGCTCATCGACTCGCCGTACGCCGACGGCGGCCTCATCGACTTCAAGAAGACAGACCGCGGCCGCGGCAGGGGCTTCCAGCTCCTCAGACGCCGCGGCGGGCACGAACAACAGCGGGCAACAACCCCGCGGGCGGCGGGTCCTGCTCGTACGAGGCCATACGGAGGCACTGCAAGGCGGAGGCGCCGGCAACGCTGCTGCTGAGCCTGGTCGGCCGGAGTAGTAGTAGTACTAGTTTGATTTATTTGGTTCGGTAGGCCGTCGCGGCTGCCGGATCGATTAGTTGGTTGATTTTATTAACCTAATTATAATTGTTGAGACACTGCGAGACGGATGCAGCAATAGTCGTCGTCGTCGTCGTCGTAGGGGTCTAGCTAGGGGATGGAAGGCCGGCCGCGCCGATTGGCATGGACGAGGTCAGACTCATACCTCGCCGGCGGCAGCTTCTCGTAGCTTGTGGTGCCAAATTTAGATTTTTTTTAAAGTGAATTATTAGAAACTCTTGGAGATAACCTTTATGATTTCTCCTAATATCATTTTAGGAGTTGTAAAAGTACATATTTTTAGGAAGAAAATATAAGATACTCTTGGAGATGCTCAGTTATTCCAATCCAATACTGAAAGACATAATTACAAACTAAAATTATAAGGCAAGCTACAAGCATAAACGAATTTCATCTAAACAAAGAAGGTAAACTCAATAGATCAAAAAAACCCAACCAAAAACTAGAGCTGTGTGCATTATATGCACCGAAAGCAATCGACCCGGATCATTCAATACGACAGTATGAACACGATACCAAGGCAAACCCATGGAAATACCCCTTTAGCAAAGAAAAATAGACACAATGTCGCTTTATTTTATCGCATTGGAAAAGACTGTCCATACATATTCTATAAAAAACAATGGTGTCCACAAAAAACAAAGTTACTAAATTTAATACAACCGTCCATTACATTCATAACATGGTGTCCACAAAAACAAAGGAATTAAGTTTAATACAACCGTCCATTACATTCATTAGACCCACAAAAACATGGTTTCATCTTAATGTTATCATCAGAAGCATAAACCATAAACTATTTGATAATTGTAATCATAGGATCGATTTAATACAACCGTCCATTGCATTCATTAGACCCACAAAAACATTCTTTCATCTTAATGTTACCATCAGAATCATAAACCTTATCTATTTGATAATTGTAATCATACGATAGCTCTTTAAGGGGAGGAATATCCTCACTAGCAAAAAACATGATGTGAGGCATACTTATATTGTCATGGTCATGGAGGACATTCTGCGGGAAAAGGTTCGGGGTGCAACAATGATTGATGAACCTTGCGAAATTGCCCTGGTTCAATGCATCAACAGCAAAGACAGTTTCGTCATCTTCACTAGGGCCATTCTGAAGAGAGGGAATAGCCTTGATCTCGGCCTTCCAATGAGGTGCATCATAATAGCTATTCCCAATAGCAAATAGGTATTCATCATTCTTTCTCTCCTGGGCCTCTTCATCCGTCAATAGCTCTCCTACGTATTCGCATACAAAACTTCCATCTGGTATGAAGTCAAGAGTTCTTACTCCCCACCCCATTGACTTGGTTTTGAAGACCTGGAGGCGAAACTTGATTCCATGCTGGCTAACTCTATTGCGACAAGTAGGAGGGCACTTGCATGATGATCCACACTCATAAATAAGAGGTTTTCCTTCCGTAAGTCCACCAATATCGTTGAAATGGAAGCCCCCGCCATTTTTTACCGCGCATGCACATTTTTGAGAGAGTGAACACCCACCAACACAGTCACAACCTGATGGAGGATCTGGCCTGTACTTTAGGGGATACTGTATTTGTGAAATGTAGTGAAATGTTGTCAGGTACTCATTTGATATAGAGTTAATAGCAGAAATAGGAACCTTCTCAAGACCTCCAGACATGTCTACAATGAAAGTGCCAGCAAATGATTCCGGCATTTTAGTTTTCAAAACTTGTAGGTCGATGTGTTGCTGCTCTGCCATTCTTCTTAGATGAAAAATACTAACATACTGACTTCCTGATGTTTTTCTCTGTTGAATTTCTCAACCAGTATAAACCACCATATACATAACTAGTAAGCTGTTTGGGTTGGCAGTCATCACCTAGCTCCGTTACCACTGCATGGATAACGCGGACAGGGGTATCAGTGTCCATACTCTCTTTTAGTGCCATGTCAGTTCCTTCCATTTCCTGATCACACGTGTCAGTCACTGATCCAACGTATAACAGGAAATCCAAACTATCAAAAGCAGAAGGTTGTGCATACGACACAACACTAACAGCTAGACACGTCCCATCCTTCTTTCTGATGTGATCAACTGCTAACGATTGTGCACGGTGTATACCAACAGTATAAAGCTCCATGACAGAATTGAACACATCACCAATACGAACTCCAGGAATGCTTCCGTCATACTTCAGGTCATCGTAATTGGCACAAAATCTCTCCCTAAAAATATTGAAAGCTGCAAGATCAGGGCTCAGACCATGCCCCCTTTCCCTCCACTTGATCTGTTCTTCCTCCAGGAGCTTCTTGTAAACTATCCGGAACTCCCGCAACGTAGTCAATACATTTTCTCTGACCACGGAAATTCTGTTATTTGCCATCGCTTCATACTGGTCATCCTTGTCAACTTTCCTCTTCTTTGGTGCTGAACCAGTTCCTTTAGGAATTCTCACTGAAGATCGTCCACTAGTAGCTGAACCTTTGAGACGAGAGTGGTTGCGTGCCATGGCAGGAGCAGCCTTCCTTGATCCATCTCCGACCTTGGATGTTGGATCTTCAGCTTCTCCATTAGATCTATTTCCTGAGAACAAATCTCGTGACCACTTGGGCTGGTACCCGATCTGGAACCTCCATGGCACAACAGCCTTGCGCCCCTTTCTGCAACCTGGTACAGTGCCCTCACTGGTCATGAAACCCTCTGAGTTGTTCACTGCCAAATTGGTCTCCTTGGCAGGGCCATTGTTCTGAAAACCCGGGAGATCACTAGGTTTGGCCATCCCATGGGGATCTACTGTGACTATGTCGTTCTCAAGGTCCACAGGAAATTCGCCATCTTTGGGTAGTGAATCGCCCTCTTTGGCAGCCGGATTGCCGTCGACACCACCCAAGCCGCGATTCTCTCCGTCTACCGCTCCGCCACCTCTGTTATTCGGAACCTCGATTTCCCCATCGGTCGCTGGACTCTCCCCATCCACGCCGCTTCCGTCGTTCAGGGAGACGGAGGGCTCGTCACTCGTCGCCGTCTGACAGCTCATCTGGAGCGTCTCCAAGCCGCCACGCTTCCCATCGGAAACAACGCCGGCGTTCATCTCCCGCCGCACGAAGCCGCTCTGGAAGCGCCACGGCGCGAGCACCTTGTGCCGCCGCGCGCCGCCCGCAATAGGCGAAACCGGCGCCCCGCCCCCGCCCTCCATCGACGCCTCGCGCGGTCAGACCAAACAAGCGACCCACGATACCTGCAAGCGCTAACAGTCAGACAAAATCTAAGGAAACGGCCGAGCGGGCAATGTGGAGACTGGAGAGGGCCCGTTCGGGAGGCGGTGATGGTGGCGGCTGAGTACCTGCACCGCGGGGCCAAGATGATGGGCGATCGGCGCCTCGGACTTCATGGCATGGTGGCGCGGTGCGGCGAGGTCTGGAGGTTTAGGAACAGGCGGGTAGCGCGGCCGTGGCCGTGCGACTGCGCCGTCGTGACTCCGGCGAACACGAACCCTGTGTTTGAGGGAAACACGAACCCTTTTCCTAATATAGCTCCTAATATAGCGCGTGTTCAGTTCCACCCAAAATTCTAAAAAGTGCTACGGTACCTGTCACATTAAATGTTTGTGATCTATGCATAGAGCATTAAATGTAGATAAAAAAAAACTAATTGTACAATTTGCTGGAAATTACGAGACGAACGTTTTAAACCTAATTAATCCATATTTAAACACTAATTACCAAATAAAAACGAACGTGGTACAATAGCCCCAAATTTCAACCTCCTGAAACTAAACACGCCCGTAATCAGGGAAACCGCAAGATCACAGATACGGTGATGGCAGGGCATGTTGGGCCGAATTGGGCCAGACGAAAACTATGGGCCCAAGCAGAGCTCAATCAAAATAGGAAAGAAATCTAAAAAAAAAAGGAAAGAAAAACTATTTAGGGCATGTTTGGAAAACTGATTTTATTTAGATTAAATATATACCATTGTAAAAAGCGAACGATCTGATGACTTGGTGGTTGGATGTGCTCAGTAGAGCACCCGCGACCTGAGTTCGAGCACTGCTCAATGTATGTTTCGCATTGGGGTTTTTTTTCCATTTTCTTTGCAGCTTGCAGTCTCAAATGCGGATGTAGCTTGCACATGGTGTGTGCGCGTGTGCATCAGTGCATGCATGTGATGTGAGTTTGTGCTATGTTTAAATACTACAGCTTGCACTTGAAGTATTGATGTATAAAAAATACCATTGTCGTCTGCCACATCACGGAGATCGAGCTCTCTTTCCTATTTTGATTGAGCTCTGCTTGGGCCCATAGTTTTCGTCTGGCCCAATTCGGCCCAACATGCCCTGCCATCACCGTATCTGTGATCTTGCGGTTCCCCTGATTATGGGCGTGTTTAGTTCTAGGAAGTTGGAATTTAGGGCTACTGGAGCACGTTCGTTTTTATTTGACAATTAGTGTTCAAACATGGACTAATTAGGCTTAAAACGTTCGTCTCGCAAATTCTCGTGTTCGCCACACACCCTGTCGCCTTTTGCGCTGCCACAAGAGCCGTTCTCGATAGCGCCATGTCCATGGCCACCAACACCACACCCTCCAAGCTCCCACTTGGGAGACCTCCAGTGTCGTCCATCTATAGCAGTCACTACTACATAAGTCATCATCACCACCGCCACTTTCACCACTAGTTCGTGTTACGAACCGTCGGTGAAATGATTTTCATTGCTGGTTCGTGGCGGTGATAATGTTTATTTGCATCAAACCAGCGGTGGGTGCTATGTTTAGGTTTTGGGCTTAGGGGTGACATCGAAGTTGGAGAAGAATAGATGAGTGTAGCTATACAAAGATAGTTGTGGGTGGGCGACGACATGGCAGTGGCAAGGCAAGGCAAGGGTGCATAGTTTGTGGAGGACCATGGGGTCGATGGCATGGATGAGAAATCAAATAGGTTAGTGGATTTGGGGAAATGAGAGGGTAGGCAACATGTTTCCACTACTATGGGTGGTGGTGGAAGCCGAAGGCGATGGTCAACAATTTTGATCCAATACGATGAGGTTGTGTTGTGTCGACTATATAAGGTTGAAGGGATGGAGCCATCGGACACTAGAAGGAAGAAGGGATGTAGGGAGGGATGACAATAAGAAGATCAAGAAAATTTCCATAATATGAAAGAAAAAAACTACAAAAACAAAGAACGCCAAAAAGGGAAAAAGGGGGAGGGGCTAGTGGCAGTGCTACTTAGCAAGTTTGAGTGTGTACTGAATAAAGTTGCCTCAAGTGTGCATCACCACTAGTTGTACACGTGGAGGAGTGACTGTTTAGACCGATCTAAATTGATAGTTTCATTTGTTGTTTCCAAATATGGCACATCAGCATAGAGCATTTGATTCATATGGTTGGATCAACCTTAGCATAATGCATAGTTTCAACTTTTATGATTCAAATAAGCTCATTGCATTTAATTTTGTGGCACATTAAGACTTAAAAATAGAGTTCCTGGAGGTTTCATCCAGATGGAACTCATTGGACCTTTTTTTCTTTAATTCATTCATTGCGTTGTTTCAAATACACTCATTGAATCGATTCTTTTACACTCCATTAAACGAGAATAATGGAATTTGTACCGAGAGTGGCCTTACTCATTCACCTGAAAACGCCACCACCATGTTCAAAGTTTTTTCATCGTGCTGCAGTGTCCCTGTACCAAAGATTTGGATGCTTGCACGTAATTATTGCCATACGATCGGATCTTTCGTGTGAGCCCTACTGTCTGCCTTGTTGCTTACTAGGGTACTCCAGCCCTTACCTTTAAGTAGTGGTTGGCGCATCGCTGCATCCAATTAGGGGGTCGTGCACTACTTAGGAGACTTATATTAATCTGGTAGCAATACATGGTAAAAATTTATGTAGTTAGTAGTAATTTTTTTTTTACCCTGGTGCATGGGCACCAGGCAAGATTAACGTGGCTTCGCCCTGCATCCAACGGAGACACTGCTGCATATAGCACACACCTCATCCTCATTGCTTGTTAAAGTTACCTTTGCTATCAGAACCAACGTATACGCACACGATTCAGAAAGTCACCAAGACACCAACACTATATATACAATCTACTGCAGCTGGTACAACCGATGACAACTATACTATATGTTTTGATTCACCTACACGGCTACACCACCACTACACCAACCAAAAATGCAGGAAGAGTGCACATCAAGAACACAGCAACCAGCTAACTAGTAGTACATACGTCGTCGACGCGTGCCGACTGACATGCACATGCTCCCAAGTCGATACATCGGCTTGGGTTTCATGCGGCGAGCTGCTGCTGGGCGCTGCATCCGGCGCCGGCGTCGTCCTCGGACAGGCAGCAGTACTGCAGCCTGAGTGGCGCGGGGGGAGCCTCCGCCTCCGCGCACAGCAGCTCGGACTGCAGCACGGCGCAGTAGTCGCCGAACGTCTCCGGCGACACGTTCAGGTCGAAGCCGACGCCGAACAGGAAGTCCACCTCCAGGTAGTTCATCTCCACCAGGCTGATGCCCCCGACCTTGGCGAAGTAGGCGTTGTTGTAGCATCTGCGTGCGTGCACAAATACACATCAGCCTACTTTGACTCTCTTTCAGCGTTCATTCAACTGTAACTTCTTCTCAGCCATGTCAGAAAAAAAAACTTCTTCTCAGCCTAACTTCTTTTTTTTTTCCAAAGAAAAACCGCGTTGTCAATTTGTCATATTACATAGGAGTAGATTCCTTGTATTCTTTCTGCTTTTCTTATGCTTGAGTTTGGCCAATGATTGACGACAAAATTACACTAAAAGTGTCTGTCAGGGCAATAATCATGCAACCGAACAAGGCAAATAATCATGCAACCGAACAAAAGCGCGACCAAAATTTTACCAAACAGAACAGGCACCCAACGGAACCTTTTAAGAATGGCAAGTTGCCCAATAATAAGCAAAGACTAATGATAACCAGAAAAGCAAGAAGAGGGGGATGGCTGGATGCTCCTGGGACCCTGACATGAGGAAGTGAGCAAGAGGCAAACATCAGCAGCAGATGGCATGGCTGGCAAGTTGGCAGTCCCAATCCCCTACAACTGGCGCCGGATTAAATTCAAGCCGCAGAAAGGTGACGGGGCAGGGTGGAAATTCTAGTTTTGTCTTCGGGTCCACGGTGGATGTGTGTGGCTGGATGCACGCAAGCAACTCAGGAACAACTGGGGTCGCTTCGCTGGACAAGCATAACTTTGTCGTCCATGGTCGATTGCCTTGTTTGCAAGGACGACAAAATTGAAGGCTTGTATTACCCAGTGAACGGCCTAGTTTCATTCACATAGCATAGTTGAACTATTGAAGTGAATGCCTAGCCTACTACTAGGACTCCTACCTTCTCTTGTCTTGTGATGATCATTAGCACAGTACTGTATGTATGGATCAATGGCTGCCGCCAAAAGTTCTGAATTGATTAGTGTTTTGCACACTTTTCTTATGCTGCTAGGACAAACTGTTGTATATGATACTGTAACACAGACACTTTCACGATAATGTTATCACAAGTAAATTTTCCATTTTCTTTTGACGTTTACCAGAAGTAACTTCACCGAATAGTAGCTACATAACAATGGGACGCAATTCCGGAGAGATCCTAGCTTCCTAGGGTGGAAATAATGCTTGAGTTACTTGGACGGCACTCCTAAACTATTCCTGGCTGGCTAGCAGAATTCTGAACTTGGGAGCTGGGAGAACAGAGGAGCAGCAAAAGATGCCTATGTTGAGTTGTAATAATATAGCACTTTGTCACAGCAACTCTTTGCACAAGAATCCAAAACATTTGAATTTTTCCATGGTACAAATCTTAATATCAAAGAAGAGAAATTCAGGTGGTCCAATTGATTTTCTCCCGAGCAATTCACCATCATGGTGTTTAAATCCAGGCGTTCTACGCAGCACATGGAAATTTCAGAATCAAGAACATCTGAACATACCAAGAACAGAGCGAACCGCACCAAGTCACTTGACCTACGTGTTCCCAATTATAGACCGACAGATACCTAATCGAGAAGACGATCATGTGCAGCTACGCCGCAAATTCAGCTAGACAGTTGGTTCGTTTGATCGCGATACCAATAGGCACGGAGAGAGGGATACATCGGACTCACATGTCGTCCATGAACTTGACGGCGGCGAGCACGGCGGTGATGAGGAGGC